GTTTTCTACACCTAATGTGACCAATATAGTTACTACTAGATTGAATGTCGTTGAGGATTTTCTTCCGTGGAGTACCCAATTCGAGTCTTTCCTAGTTTCCCATAATCTTTTTGGGATGCTAGATGGGTCCATCTTGGCTCCAACACCGTTTATTCGTGATACTTTTGGACGGGAAACTCCTAATCCGGAGTACCATCATTGGTTGAAAATCGACCAAACCATTCGTTCATGGATCTTCGCCACTTTGTCCCGTGACATTCTAATGGAAGTTCATCACCTTAAAGTTTCTGCCCTTGTATGGGAATGTCTTAGGGCGAGGTTCGTGTCAGCTTGTTTGGCTCGGTCCATGGAGCTCAAACGACAACTCTCGCATGTTAAAAAGAAAGAAAATCAAACTATGGAACAATATTTGTTGGAGATTAAGGTTATGGCAGATAACTTAAATTTGATTAATTCTCCTGTTACTAATAAAGATTTGATTGAGTATACTATTTCGGGCCTTGGTCCCGAATATGAATCCTTGATCACGGCTGTTTCTTACTTTCCCGGTGGTGCCACGCTTGAGAATTTACGTCCGATCTTGCTAGCACACGAACAACGAGTTATTTATCTCCGCTCCCAGGAACTTCCCCCAACTCATCAAGCGTTTGTTGCACGTAATGGACCTGCGGATCGTGGTGGAACTCGCGGACAGGGAGGAGGCCGACAGCAAGGATACCGCGGCCAACGAGCTGGCCGGGGTCGCGGCCAGAGAGGGAGGGGTCGTGGTCAATTTCAGCATCAATTTGGTAATTTTCAGCATCACTATGGCCCAGCTTTTCCGCCCCAGGTGCAAGCTGCTCACGGCCAGCAGGTTACATACGGCCAGCAGTCTTATGGACCTCCACGTGGACCAGTTCAGGCTGCACACTCAGGTGCACTTATGAGTAATTTTTGGTCTGGTTATTCATACTTTAATCATTTATCTTCTTGCGGTACTCATAGTAATTGTGCAGGTTTTCCATCACTGGACAATCATTTTTCCAATCCACCACATCCAGTTGTTTGCCAAATTTGTTTTTCACCAGGTCATTCTGCCCTTACATGTCCTCGGTTCACTGGGTCCTCTACGCCTGCTCTAGCTGCTATTCCCTCGGGTGAGACAAATGCCTCTGTGTGGTATCCTGACTCAGGTGCCTCTGCTCACATGACCCCACACGAAGGTATTTTATCTTGTAAATCTCCTTATACTGGCTCTAATAATGTGCAAGTTGCTAACGGTACTAAATTACCTATCTCTCATGTTGGTAACGTTAAAATTAATACATCTGGCCGTCCCCTTACATTAAACTCCGTTTATCATGTCCCACATCTTAAATATAATTTATTATCTATTCATAAATTATGTGCGGATAATGATTGTACGGTGATTTTTAATAAAAATTCTTTTTTTATTAAGGACAATCAGACGGGGGTGCATCTTCTTCAGGCTTCCAATAAAGACCATCTTTACCCTTTTCATGCTCTTCAGACTACTCTACTTCCTGGACCAACATGGCACAAACGTTTGGGGCATTGTGGTGATAGAGTTTTAACTACACTTCGGCAAAAACATTTTATTTCTGCTTCTAGTAATTTTCATCATGATTGTGTTTCTTGTAAGTTGGGTAAATCCCACAGACTACCTTTTCAGGATGTTATTCATTCGTGTGCTGCTCCTTTGGAGCTTATTCATTCAGATGTTTGGCAGTCGCCTGTTTTATCCAATCTTGGGTTTAAATATTATGTCTCTTTTATTGACGATTTTTCACGTTATACTTGGATATATCCTATGCGCCGCAAATCAGAAGTTTTTCATCATTTTTGTAATTTTCAAACTCTTGTTGAAAATCTCTTGAGTAGAAAAATTAAATTTTTTCAAAGTGATGGTGGTGGTGAATTTGACAATATTATGTTTCACAATCATTTTTTAAAAACAGGTATTTTATTCAGAAAATCATGTCCTGATACTCCCGCTCAGAACGGCGTAGCAGAACGAAAACATCGTCATTTACTTGAATTAACTAGGACAATGTTAATTGAATCTTCGCTTCCTCCTAGTTTTTGGGTTGATGCTCTTTACACAGCTACTTATATTGTCAATCGCCTTCCTACACCACTTTTGAAAAATTTAACTCCCTTTGAGATGATTTTTAATAAAGTTCCTGATTTTAATTTTTTACGTGTTTTCGGGTGTGCTTGTTTTCCAAATTTCATTGCCAAGTCTTCAAATAAGCTCTCACCGCGCTCCATTTGTTGTGTGTTTATTGGGTATGCTCCGGGCTATAAAGGGTATCGTTGCTTAGATCCTTTAACTGGTAGAGTTTATATTAGCCGAGATGTCCAGTTCCATGAACACAATTTCCCATATCCTCACCTGGTCCGTTGTCCACCTACCATGTCTCCTCTATCAACCTCCTGGCCAATCACATGTATACGGTCCCCTCAATTATCCTCACCACCGGTTCCCACCATTTCTCCAGCTAATCCCACAGCTCCTACCTCAGACAATCCATCACAACCATGCATCATGTCACCCGTATTACCCACTACGTATGCTCCCTCTTTCCATAATAATACTACACCACAAACCCCACACAATACTCCACCCGCATCCCATAATAATACTCCACCACAAACCCCACACAATACTCCACCAGCATCCCCCACCTCGCCTGGCAGTTCATCAAATGGCAGTTTGTCCTCGGTGGACAGTCCGCCTTCCAACAGTTCATCCATCAGCCCGTCACCTAGCCCGGTTGCTAATATTCACCCCATGCAGACCCGCTCTAAAGATGGGATTTTTAAACCTAAGACCATTTTTAATTTAAGTGTTCTTGCACCACCGGATGATCCGACATGTTATTCTCAGGCACAAAAATTTTCTGTATGGCGGGATGCCATGGCTGATGAATTTAATGCGTTACTAGCAAATCAGACTTGGGAATTAGTACCTTATGACTGCACTAAAAATGTAGTTGGTTGTAAGTGGGTTTACAAGACTAAATATAATTCTGATGGTTCTGTTGAGCGCCACAAAGCGCGTTTGGTTGCTCAAGGGTTCAAGCAACAGGCAGGTATAGATTTCACTGAAACCTTTAGTCCCGTTGTTAAACCTACCACTGTTCGTCTTGTTCTGTCCATCGCTGTTTCTCTTGGTTGGTGTATTCGCCAGCTTGATGTAAAAAATGCATTTCTTCATGGACATCTCACAGAGGAAGTGTATATGCGTCAACCTCAAGGTTTTATCCATCCTTCTTTCCCTAATCATGTTTGTCGCCTCAAAAAGGCGTTATATGGGCTCAAACAGGCTCCTCGTGCCTGGTTCCATCGATTCAGTGGGTTTCTTCTCACACATGGTTTTTCTCAGAGTAAATCTGATTCATCCATGTTTGTGTTTCGTCGTGGTTCTGAGGTAGTATACGTTCTTTTGTATGTGGACGATATTTTAATTACTGGTTCTTCTATATCATTTGTTCGTCACATTATTCAGTCCTTATCCACACAGTTTGCCATGAAAGATTTAGGCGATATACATTTTTTCTTGGGTCTTCAGACTCGTCGTACACCTAAGGGATTATTTATTTCTCAGCAAAAATATATCTCCGACTTATTACGACGATTTCATCTTCACACAGTGAAACCCGTTCGTACTCCTTTACCGTCACGAACCACCCTTTCTCTGACTGATGGTGAACTTCTCACCGATGCTACTGAGTATCGTAGTATGGTAGGTGCATTACAGTATTTGATTTTGACTAGACCTGATATTACTTATGCTGTGCATTTGGTCTCTCAGTTCATGCATGCTCCTCGTACTACTCACCTTTTGGCTGTGAAGCGTATTTACAGATATTTGCAGGGCTCAGTAGATCATGGCCTATGGCTTCAGTCCAATCCTGATATCTCTCTCATTGTTGCCTATTCTGATGCGGATTGGGCTGGTTGTCCGGATAGTAGCCGCTCTACCACAGGTTATGCCGTCTTTTTGGGTAGTAATTTAATTTCTTGGAGGTCCAAGAAACAACCTACCGTGTCAAAGTCATCCACTGAAGCTGAATACCGTGCTATAGCGTATACGGTTCAGGATACTCTCTTCATTCGATCCTTGTTGACAGATATGGGCATTACCATTTCGGCCCCTGTGCAACTCCGGTGTGATAATGTCTCGGCTTCTTATCTTGCCATTAACCCTATACAACATGATCGTAGTAAGCATATCAAGATTGACTACCATTTTGTCAGAGAACGTGTTGCTCATGGAGATCTTGTGGTCAAATATGTTCCTACACAGTTGCAGTTGGCAGATATTTTTACAAAAAGCTTATCTAGTCAGCGGTTTGAATTTTTACGTGCCAATCTGCGCGTTGTTTCCCCTGCACAGATTGAGGGGGTGTAATAATATATAATAGATGACATATTTGTAATTTCCCCTTTCTATTGCTTATTATAAATATACACATGTGGACACCCTATGAGGTGAGGCCATTATTTGTGAATTATATTTCCATAAAAAAAAGCTAAAATAGTGTTTTCAAATGACAACTTCTGTTTAAAGTAATCACTTAAAAGCTAAAAGATGGAAGCAGGTAGAAGGGTGTTTTAAACTGTTTTTCACCTTTTTGTATTACACAAAAAGTACTTATTTTACCAAACACTACCAACTTTTACTTTTTCAGAATCACTTTTTTCTCAAACACTGACAACTTTTACTATTAATCATTTTTTCCAAAATCACTTTAAAAAATCACATTTTTTAAGTTGAAGCAATTGCAAACACTCCCGTACATACCCCAGACCTGATCAAATCAGATTAAACAGATCAGATCAGACCAGGCCATACAAGAACAGACTTCTTTAGTTATAAAAAACACAGAGACCGGACATGCATTTACCAGACCAGATCACACAGGCATAAACAGACCATTACATTTTAGCCCCAAAGTAAAAACAATCTAAGTTGATTTTAGGATAGAAGGAACCTGAGAAATACGACGGGGACGATGAGCGCTGTGATCTTTATTGGTCAACAAGTAATCCAGTAGCTCTTCCCTCTCTTTCCTGTTAGGAGTGTACATCACCTGACATGGCAATGACGTGTCACCTTTTCATCATCCATTCAAGTTTTTCTGACAATTTTTAATTGAACTATCCAACTAACAAAACGAAATGGGCCTACAAGCTTCAAGCCCATACATGAGAGCCTTACTGCCAGCTTCCGCCATAAGTATGCGGCTATCCCTGGAACAACTTTTTCCTCATGTATTGCACTCCATATTTCAGAGTAATAATAATATAATTATAGCTATTATAATACTTCGTAATAAAGCAATGTACAGAACAATGAGTGCACGTTTACGTTTTGAATACGATCTTTTTTAATATTTAATTAACGTGATGTATGTGTATTGGGTTTTGGTCCAATAATACGGAGTAACGTTAGAAGTTTGCATGTCATACTTCAAAGTTCAAACATCTAGTACCCTCCTTCCTTATTTTCTGGTTGTTTCTACAACTTTTTAACCAAGTTGTAGAAATGGGAAGAGAAGTGAATAATGTGAGATATATTCATGATATATTCTATCATCTCATTTTACCCCATTTTGTGAGATGCAACTTTGTCTTTTGACTTAGGGGGTGTTTGTATTTTGGCGGTTGAGAGGCAACACGCTACAAAATGCAATGTTTGTTTGTTATCACAAAAAATTAGCGTTTGGGGTAAAAACGCTTTTACCCAAACAACCCCTTGGTGGGGTAATTAACTTGGATGATCACTTAACTTCTAACTTAGTTTCAATTTGGTCACACTACTTTAATTTGATTCATTTTAATCATTTAACTATACCTTTAGTTGCAGGTTAGTCATATACCACATAGTACTTGCTGGAACAGTGATGTGTTTAATTATGTGTGTTTTCTCTTTTATAGCAAGCACTAAAAGCTGCCTCATTTAACCATCCCATCCAATTATAGTTCTAATTTTCAGAAAATAAATCATACCCGTAATTCCTTAAAACAACAAACTCCAGCGCCTTTATGGCATTATCCGGTCCTTGCTCCCTCATCACTGCAATACCTTTATAATCAGCTCCAGTTCTTTGTTCCTCTGTATTCTCACACGGGAGCAGCTTGTGAAAGAAGATGTTCAACTCTTTTCAAATCTCGGCCTTGAATTCACTGAAAATTGTATAGCAGCGGTACATCAAAGGAAACGATCCGCTGCGCCTAACTAGATTTGGATGGGATCGGATTTTGGTCCATGTTTATTCCCCTTGTGTAGCAGGACTATTACCGGTTGCAAATTGATAGTTGGAATGGATGAATTCATTAGGTTCTTATAGAAAATAAGGTTTCCTTAGTAAGATTTAACTGGCTCAAATAGTCAAATGGGTATATCTTAGATGTTCTGTAGAAGAAAACATGGCTGTTAAGATCAATTTAAAATTGAGTGACCAAATTATACCTATAATTAGATGAGGTGGACAATGGGTAGGATAGAGAAATATTTCATGTCTTTTACAATTGGTTGAGATGTGCAACGTCAGTTTTCCGACAACCTAACATGCCCGGGTGATGAATTTGTAATTGAATTAAAGTTAAATGATTGAAATGGATCAATTTAAAGTTGAGTGATCAAATTGAAACTTACTAAAAGTTAAGTGATCATCCAAGTTAATTACCCCTGGTGTAAAAACATGAGCGATTCCTAAATCGCACTTTTACAATCAAAATTTATATATAAAGCACCCTAGCCTACTTACTAAGGCTTTGTTTGCCAACACAACTAAAAAAACATTTCCCAACTTTTGGCTTAAAAAAGCTAGAAAAGATGTTTTCAAATTACAACTTCTACTTAAATGAATTACTTAAAAGTTAAAAGCTAGAATATGCTTTTTACATTTTCTATTACACAAAAAACACTTATTTTACCAAACACCACCAACTTTTACTTTTCAAAATCAGTTTTTTATCAAACACTACCAACTTTTACTATTAATCATTTTTTTACCAAATCATTTGAAATGATATAATACTCGTAATTCATATAAGCACGCTCCCCAATAAGCACGCTGACATGGATCCATATATTTTCTCCTCTTAAAATGACCATTAAAAAGGGCGGGTCAAGACATTAGATCAGATTGAATCGGTACAAGAAATATTTTTGGGAAAAAAAATATACAAATTTTTTTATCATAGAAATTTAGACATTTTTTAATGATGTGTAAGAGTATAGGATAGAAGTATAGAACTCACTCACAGTGATGACCTCCCGGAGGATGAAATCCGGGACCCACTTGAGCGGGTCACACTTGCTGAATGACTGATTCACCAACAGCCGGAGATCGTCCGGCTTTGCCGGCAAGAACACGTCCACCGCGTTTTCCCGCCCCATCTTCTTCAGCCGCACCATCTGCTCCGCCCTCTGATCCGCCGTCGACGCGATCCCGCTATTCACGATCACCACCCTCTCCACCGCATCCGGGTACATCTCCGCCATCCGATACGCCACGAACCCGCCGTAACTGATCCCGTACACGGAGCTCCGCCGCACCCCCAGCCCCTTCAACCCCTCCGCCACGCATTCCGCCTGGAACGCGACCGTGCGATCCGGGCGCCGGGAGTGGGACTCGCCGAAGAAGAGGAGGTCCGGGACGTACAGGTTGAAGGATTCCGCCAGCTGCCGGACCTGGAGCGCGAATTGCCACTTGGCATTGCCGCCGTAGCCGTGGATGATGACGAGGTTGGGCTTGCTGAAGTGGCGGTGGGTGGGGGCCCAGAAGTGGACGGTGGTCTGGTCGTCCAAATCGACGGTGCAGGGGCAGAGATTGCAGAACCGGAAATAGAGGGACAGGATCGAGTCGAATATGGGGATGAGGATGGGGAAGCGGTGGGTTTTGGGCAGAACGCGGCCGATGACGGCGGCGGTGACGGAGAAGTAGAAGGACATGATGTGGCAAAACCATAGCCGGAGCACCGTCTCCATCCCGGCCGGCCCCTCTGAAGAACAATTTGAGAAGAGTAATTAAAGAGTGGATTGTAACGCTGGCGCTGCTTTGCGTTTTTAAAGACAAGTTTTTAGTTAAAAAAATTATACAGTACTTTTTCGTTATTACTCCATCACTCCATATTATATTCGAAAATGCTGAATGTACACAACTTATACACATTTTGTACACGGTATATATAGTTTTTTCACCTTTTCATTTTACCTTTCACTTTTCTCCATATTCAATTTCACCTCTTTCTCTCTCCCATCTCCGGCCTTTGCCCTCTTCTTCCACGGAAACCCCTCCACATCTTCTCCAATTTTCTCCCATGGTCTGTAATAGACCTCCACCCCTCTCCTGTCATCTGTGAACCCTCATCTTCCACGAAAATTCGTCCCCCACTTCATATCGTATTATCGTGTTCCATGAAATTTACGAACCCTCCCCCCTCTCCTTAGTAATTAATATGTCTAATCTCTTATCTTTTTTTTTTCATATTCTTTTGGTTGTAGAAGACGGGATGACAACGATCCAGCTGGACGCTTCTTGGGGACTTCGCCCTAGCCCTAGCTAAGTCGATAAGTCCTCTCCTTTCCTTGGATTCCTAGTTGACGAACTGTGACGCTAGCTGGTATGTTAACTTTTTTCAAGAAATTTAAATTACTGGAGAAATTGAGCTGCTGCTTAATTTATAAGATTTATTTCCACCTTACCTTAAAAGAATTTTGATTGTATGTGAAGAAATTTTATAAAAGTTGCTTCAATTTTGGATCTTATATCAGTAACTCCTTGAAATCGCTATCTAGCATGGAAACATTGCCAAACTTATAAAAACAGGGATAAAGTTCAGTTGATGTGTATTCACTGCCAAAAGATATTCAAACAGGAGCGATTTTTATACTTAAAAGACATTTGACTGTCAAGAAGGGAATGGCTGAACTTGTTTGAGAGTTGAACCTGATGTTAAGATTTTAATGCCAAAGCTAGTGCTCAGATACTACCCCAATGAAGGTTAAGAAGCATATGAAGATTTAAATACAGAAGTGCATAGATTTACTTTGCTTACTTTTAATTGTTAATTGTTTATATAGCAAGAAACCAGAAACTACGCAATTCAATTTAAGGGAAAGTGGAGGAATTGCATATGATTTGCAGACAATACTCTTATAACAACAATTAAGAGAAAAATTATATGTAACTGTGATTTGTATAACATGTTGGTTTAAAGTCTAAGGTTGGGAGAATATGGCTTTGACTATGAAAATTATTGTAAACAAGAATATAAACAACAATTATATACTGCATGTTTTCTTTCTTACTATGTTTTAATTACTATTTGACCTTTCGCGAGTGGATGTTATACTTTTTTAGGTCACAACTTTTATATCAGTAAGTTTTTTCTTTTTTGTTTATTAAGTTTCTTTGTAATCAAAACTTAAATGTTTCATTTATCTCTAATGATAGGGTATTGATGGATCATGGATGACTGATGATTTTACCGGTTGGCGTGCTAAGTAGGTAGTGTTGAGTTTCTTAACTTATGTATCCTTTTACACTTTCTTTTTTCATGTGATTAGTGATTGGGGAAGAAGAGGGGACTCATATATCTTATGATCAATAGTTTAGATCAATATACAAATTGTTATGTCTTTATTTTCAGTCAGTAGATAAAAAGAAAGCAGCAACACCTGAAAACTATCTAGTTTTTCTGAAATAAGATTATTTAATATACGAACTTGTCTATATAGTATTGTAATTTATGAATGCAACCCCCTTTCACTTACATGGTAATACATACTTAATCTTTCTTTACAATACTTTTTATATAAAGGTCGGGATTTGTCCACATATATGACAATGAGTTCAACAAAGAGTTCTATGGAACTATGCAAAGTTCTATATGCAAAGACTTTTTATACACTTTTGGACTGGTTTACCAGTTTCAGTTTTTTTTTGTCCCATCATTATCAAGAACTATGCAAAGTTCTATGCAATAAAGGAGGAAGCGATTCCAGTTTGAGGAATTTAGATTTCTGAGTGATCAGCTTATGTTAAGGAATTCTGACTCTTGATGTGGGCACAATCTAAATCAAGCCATAATTTGTTGTTTGTTTTTGTATGCCATATATGCAGTGATGTATGAAATAATAGTTTGAGTGGTTCAATCCCTCAGAGCATTGACAGTAGGTACCTTGACTGAGAAATGCTGCTAATTGAGACTAATAATAATCTTGTGTGTTTATATTTTAACATTTTCTGTGTGCTTGTTTTAAACCTTTTGTACGTAAATAAGCTAGTAAAATGCTTTTTTAAATCATAATAACCTATACAACATATTCAGGTTATCACAATCTAAGCCCAGAAGTGGAAGAAGGCATAGAAGGCATTTGTCAAGTCTTAAATCACATCTTTGTGTACACAATAAAAAAATTCTCAAGTGAGTTGCAATTCTGAACTTAATTGGAAACACAAACTTAAAGCGTGTTTAATATTTTAAATTTATGCCTCCTCAGCTATGTAGTTTTTTTCTTTTGCAGAGAGGATGAATCATCTGCAAGATAAATGCGTTGATAACACATGCATTACTTTCAGTTTCACATTGATCTACGAACTAAAGAAAAAGTTAGACTAGATGAATATGCTTTATTGTAATCAAACTTTGACCTTTGTGTAATTATCAGTTATAATTAGATGCATTTCTTGATTTTAGTTTTTTTACTCTGTTATTAGATTTTGATCTTGATGGTTGGCACTTGGTCATATCCTCCCGTGATATTGTCTGTGAACCAGATATGAAGTGTCCGGCCACAGGCAATAACTATCAGAGTGGGCTAATGTGCTACGCGGAGTTGCCTGTGAGTCAGACATGAAATGTCCGATTACAGACAATAGCCACTCCAATTGGCAAATGTGTTAAGTACAAATGTCTATGAACCTGGTACGAAGTGTCTGGTCACTAGAATGAGTTAATGGGCTAATATGCCAAGTGGAATTGTCTGTGAACTAGAGATGAAGTGTCTGGTTACAGACAATAGCCACTTGAACGGTATTATGTGAAAGTGTCTGTGAACGTGATATAAAGTGTCTGGCCACAAACAATAGCCATCAAATTGGGCTAATGAGCTCATGTGCTAAGTGCAATTGTTTGTGAACCAGACATGAAATGTCTGGCCACAGGCAATAGCCACTGGAACAGACAAATGTGCTAATTGGAATTGTCTGTGAACACGACATGAAGTGTCTGGTTACATACAATAGCCACTGAAACAAGTTAATCAACTCAGTAAATCTATTTAATCAAGATACTTATTTTTATATTGAATTGGTTGAATTGGCTGAATGAGTTGAATAAGTTATAATTGATGTTCTGTTTGAATAAGTTATATTTGATGTTCTAGTTGAAGTGGTTGAATTGATTGAATTATGAAAAAAAATAGTCCTTATTTTGAATAAATTTTATTAATAAAATAAAGAAATAATTATATGAAAAAATAGTTGAAATAACATTTCACAATAACTTTAATCAATACATGAATTTTCTGGTCACATGCAATAGCCACTAGGACATGCTAACGAGGTAAGTGAAATTGTTTGTGAATCGGGCATTAAATGTCTTGTCACAGGCAATAGTCACTAAAAATAAATGGTCAATCGGATGATTAACTAATGAGCATAAATAATCAAGCTTCAAAAGAAAAATAAACAAATAGAGAAATAAGTAAGATTGAGGTTATATGAATTGGTTGAAGTTATTGTAGACTATTATTTGAACTATTTTTCACATACTTATTTCTTTATTTTTTCAACCATCTCAACATGAAATTAAAAATCCCGTTTAAATAAACTCACTTGACAGATTAACTTGTTTCGGTGACTATTGTTTGCAACCATACATTTCATGCTGCGTTCACAAACAATTCCAATTAGCACATTTGTCTGTTCCAGTGGCTATTGGCTATGACCGGACATTTCATGTCTGGTTCACAGACAATTCCACTTTTACAAAATAGCAGTATATCACTGTTCACATCCATAAACAATTCCACAAAATGACCAATCTTCTCCACTAACAATCTTTCTTTCTCCATGTAGTAAAGTCTCCGTGCTATGTCATGATGAAGCATTTCTGAATTTATAGTAGCGCAAATGTAAAAATGAGCCTCATCCATATCATTCTTGGAAGAGAACTCTAATAAGACATAAGCATTCATGAGAATGAACACCATTTAAAGTCATTTTGGTTTACATAACACAAAACATACATGTTTGAAAACATAAGCATCACTATCTAAATACAACATTACTTTTAATGCAAGAACATGATTCAAGTGTACTTGAGCTGCTAGAAACTTTCCATAGTCTATTATCCCAATATTGTCAATGCCTACAACATTTGTAACATCCTTAATCTCAGATTCCATCAGCCCTGCTCCATCTCTCCTTAACCCCTCTTTTAATTCATCAATGTTATAGTTCTGCTAGTATCTGTATCAATCATTCTAAAAATGGAGATATAATTACATAGCGCTGATGATAACATTAAGAAAATGAAGTAAAATTATATAAAGATAAAAGCAAAAGAAAAACTAATTGATGGAATTCCACATTTGCTGCCTAATTGCAATAAAATGGTTAAACTTGAGACAGATCTTGAAATAGCTTGGCATTTAATTAAGAGCAAAACGTAACATCTTGAAGTGTAGTAACTATTGAATCATCATTTTCACCAGTCTGTGCACAGAGACGGCCACAAATAGTTCTCAAGAGAATGAATATGCATGCCACATGCATTAAACCGAATTACAAACGAAAAGAGAAATTCCATCAGGTTGAATGTGCATGTGCCTTTGACTTTTTCATATGTGTAATACTGATATGGAGCTTGGGAAATGAAACAGTTATTTTTGGGTTTAACTTTTGATAAACTCTGAGCAATAAAGTTTATATTTAACATCATTACATCAACTTTTAATTTCACTAGCATTATAACAAATGAATTGGAACTGTTTATACTTAGCTAATTTCACTTATGAATTTAATCAAGTTTCTCATTCATGAATAACCTACATTAAGTTCATTGAATGCAGATCAACAAATCGAAATATAAATTTCCAAAAATGAGAACAAAATCATGGATTCGAACAAAAGGTTCATTGAGACATTTCAACAAACATATTATGGGCATAAATGAACTAGAGTAATTACTCTAAAATTTCAATAATTAACCCTTCATATCTCTTACAATTAAAGGAAAAAATCAATTATTCAAAGTTATAACATACACAATATAAATAAAATCGGAACAAATATATAATAAAAAATGCAAACCACACAATTATAAAAGATTAAAGAATCACATTGAACCTCTGAATCACAATAGCCAAAAGGGGGAATTGTTATCCTAAAACCACCCCTGTCATCTCCACTAAATTATGCTGGTAGTTGAATATATCCATCCATATATCATTTTAATAATATATCAATTTTATTTTAATAAAATATCAATTTTATCAATTTTAATAAAAATATTAGTTAGAATATCAATTTTAGGGTTAAGGAGATTGGATTGAAGGAAGATGAGTGGGAAATGAATACCATGGTGGTGGTGAAAACGAACCGTCGATTCTGGCTTTGTCGGTATCATCATTCCGTCTTCTCAAACAACAAGCAGCAAAAAGAAAGACAAGAAATGAGAGGGTTTGTGTGGTTTTCCAGAGTTGAAGAACGAGAAAGTGGGGGAGAGTTTTCGTGAAAGGAGAGGGTAAGGGCTTCAAATGGGAGAGAGAAAGAAGCAAGGGGAAAAGGGGGAAAGTGAACGGTAAAGAGGAAAGGTAAAAAAACCTATATATACTATGTACAAAATGTGTACTATTTGTGTACCCTAAGCATAATTGTATTATATTACCAGAAAATCGGAGCTCGCAGATTTAAACCATAGTTTGAAGAAAAGGGGTATTTCAGACTATGAACTGCTAACTGGGGAGTATGGGTAATTATATATACGGAGTATAATACATAGTACTCTTTCCCCAAAAAGATACATAGTACTCCGTATATAAGTACGGAGTAGTATTTTATAGGTACAATTACTACAATATACTCCGTACATGAGTTAGGGATCCAAATATATAGCGCAAAAACATGAAAATATCATTTGCTCAAAAAAGTGTTCTTATTTACATGAAATTGTGTATTATCAGATTGTATTATCTTTAATCGAATTACAAGTATTAAGTCAAATTATCATCATCAATATCATACAATAATGTGATATTATCTTTAAAAATCTTATATAAATAATCTTACATTTATAAGGATATAATTAAAAAGTGAAAGGTGAGATTATTTGTATAATTTTCAAAGAAAGAGTAAAAAACATGGTCAGGGTCTAATGAAAGAAGATGGGGTGCAAATGTGGGATTATTTTGGGATTATTTAAAGGTGGAATTATTATGAGAAGACCAGTGAAAGGTTGGATTACTCTTGTCAATTTTTCCTTTTTTTATTATATTGAATTGAATAAACACTTGCATAGTATTTTCTTTGTTAAAGTGTTTTGAAAACTCAAATTTAATGAAATTTCAAAACATATGGGAATTGACTTTAACCCTAAAACACACTACTTTGTATTAACTTGGTATTGAGTGAGTGCTACTTTACAGTTGCTTTATCTTAAGCTTTGATAAGTTACCTAATTTCAATTAGAGTGAGAAAGAGAGAGCCAAATAGAAAAGGTTGCAGCATACTTATGTACAATTGGATTAGAACTTGGAATTATTACTTTAATTCAGAGTATTTGTAGGCATGCAATGATTGATCTGGACTATTTGCACAAGCATTAGTAAATTCGAGCGACTCGTGTGTATGAATTATAAAACTCTTCCTTTAATTATATCTTAGGAATCGAATTTGAGACAACTGATGGAGAACATCTACGTGCACGAATAGCAGTGATGGAAAAATTAGAAGATTGATTAGGTTCGAAACTCGCAAAGATCGTGTGGAGGTTATAACTCATGCGTATTAGGCTGGACCTCTGGTGCACATGTGTATAAGACCTACCATCATTGGGCTGACTGAGCCACCATGATTTACATCCTCTCATATGACTTGTCGGGTTAGGGCATGGAGAGTCTTTGGGATTGGGGATTTAACCATTTCGAATAATGAAGGAGAACATCTCTCTGCCCGGCCTAAAAACCATTACAGATTTTCTAAATGAATATTTTACACAAACGTATTTTATGCGACTTGATAGTGATTGTGCGTGAGTAGATTGACTAAATGAGTATAAATTGCATTCATCAAAGTATATAAAAGCATCATTTTCCAAAGAAAAATAATGTAACTAAGAGGGGTTTGGAACTAATTAATTATGCTTCTTTTTTAAAAGCACAATCAGAATTAGAATCGGTTTTTCAAAAGATGATATCTCACATCGTCTAAAATCTGCTTTTAGGAGTAATTTCGAGCACATAAAAGTATTTATGCACTTTCACCAAACACTTCAATGTTTTGCTTCTACTTGAACAAGCAAAAGCAGTTTTAAGAAGTAGATCCAAATACCACATAATTATTAAAGACAACAAATGGATTACCAAGATGATAGATACTTAATTTTTGGATGAAATGTAAGTATATATTAAAGATAATCCAAATAGTATTGATGGATAGTCTATCCAGGGGTATCTTATCTGAGGGGTTATTGCAGGAATAACTAGAGAGAAGTCAGAGCAAATAGGAGGAGAGAGAGTCGATTGTATTAAATGAACTCAGCGTGTGTTGGGATCCGGGATCCTTTACAATGGGGAAATGGGGTGCTATTTATAGTAGCAATAAATGCGATGAGAGTACACGTGGCGATAATCCGACGGCCGAAGGATCACCTCAATCGGGTGGCACTGGCAGTCACATGTGCTCCGCATTATATGCGGTGGGTGGATGTGACGTTGCATTAAATGCGGTGGTTGCTTGTCTCCAAAGGGAATCTTTTCGATGATTGAGTTGTTGACCGAGGGCTCCCCCTGCGGCCGAGGGCCTGTGTAGCCGAAGGCATTGGGGTACCGAAGGCTTCCCTGGTGCCGAGGGCATCATGTGTTTGCAGGGGCGGATCCAGGAATGAGGGGTGGGGTGGACTAAGCAATAAAAATTTTCGTTACTGCATACAAAAAGGTTTAGCTTAGGACCGATAGTTATTGAACTGAGATTTCGAATTTAATTTAATGACCAAACTTAACGAGCTTCAATCTCGAACACGGGCTAAATTTTAGTTTAAATAGTTTGTTTTTACAAAAAAAAAAAAGCGGCCGTTATTTTTTTGAGTTTGAATAGTTATTCAAGCTGAATTCGAGCATAGTCATGTTCAGTTCGATCTGGACTCGAGCATATTGATAACTTATAAATTATAGAAACAAACTATATACTACCTCCGCCCACTTTTATTAAGACTAATTTGACTTTTCAAGTCAAAGAAGTTAAAATCTGAATGACTATATATTTATACAATAAAATTGATAATATGAAAATGAAATGGAAATGCTCTTTGTTAAAAAGTTTATCATAAAAGTATAAATTTAGTAAGTTTCACACTAATACATGAGTTAAAATGATGGATCAAAGTTTACCATCTTTGACTAAAGAGTCAAAGATGGCTAAATAAAACGAGATGGAGGTAGTATATCTATAATTTAAACGTTTTTAGTGTGATTTATAATTTTATTATTGATTATTAAAGATTTTAGTATTTATTGATATGAATTAAAATACTTCTATAAAAGTATAAACCTAATAAGTAAAAATAGTCGATGTACATAAAACTAATAAGTATTCCCAATTAATTTTAAAATTGAATTGAGATTTTGAATCCATTCTTACATGCCTAAACAGTAAATACATCGTTCTCTATTATTTAATTGCATAATAAATAAATCATTTTCTAATCTTTAATTCTATCTTTAATCATTAAAATTTATAATAAATAAAAACTATTTTACAATCTACTGAATAAATTCAATTAATAATCAAATAGAATTACAAAGTTGGTAGGCTTGGGCTGGGCTAGACATTAATTTTGAGGTGGGCTGGAAATTAAACCTATACCTATAATAATAAAAATAAATTGGGCTGGGCTGGGCTGGAGCCCACCCCTGCCCCAACATAGATCCGCCCATGTGTGTTTGGACGAAACCTACCGGTAGCCGAGGGCTACTGTCTTACGCCGTTTTCTCCCAGTAGCTTCGTATGCTCGATTCTTGCTGCCCTGTGTATTTTGGAGCCTTCGGCCAAGGAGGCCGAAGGCACCCCAGTGTGTATTTTGGGCTTCTTTGAGACTTGGGCCGCTGCATTTGGGCTTCGAATGTTCCTTGAGCTCAATGGGCCTGCGTAGGAGAAGTAGGAGTCTATGGGCCGGGGGTTCCTGGGCCATTTACTCCATCAAGTACATCTGTACAGCAAAAATATCAAGCAAAAATGGAGGCTATCGAGAGATCGAATAACCCATCACCTCAAAAATAAGCTAGGGGAGCAAGCAAACATACATCCAAGCACAAAAACAGGTGATGGGCTGCAATTTATCATCAAAAAACTACCAACTCATGAGGGTAGATGTTATACATGATTTTATACACTATATACTGAATCCTTGCAAAAACTCCATCTTCCTTTGGTGTAATGCCATCAAATCTTGTAGCATTTCTCACTCTCCATATCCAGTACACTGTACACCGAATAGCAAAAAGCAATCCTTGCGGCTTTAGCTTGAAGTCCAACTCCTCCTTGCTCTTTCTTGATCCATTATTTTACCGAACTCGCCAGCGTATTCATTTGCCTTGGGATGCAAATCCAAGCCTTGACCTTACTCCGAATAATATCTGAAAAAGATCATTCAAAGTGTAGATGTGGTACCGTTTAGGAACCATCCTTGCAAAATGGGCAAATGTTAACTACAACTAATCTATGGAGATTGTCATGTGTAGCAAGCCAGTTTCTCAAGGCCAACTAAACAGTAAAGAAAAACTTGGGAGGAAATAGTTTTTCCAAATAAAGGACATCCAATTCCATTTGGTCCCTTTAATTCTAAATATGATACACCTTGGAAGAAGATAATCAATAGCTTCTCATTTTCTTGAAATATATAGAGACAATCAATAGCTTCCGGTATATAATATATTGGCCAAGTGTACCATGATTTCATCTCGAATCAATGCCATTATTTTCATCAATTGAGAGTCTCTTTTGTGTGAGGAAAAATACTCAACAAAATAATTGAGGGGATGAACTGAAGTGGCAACCGGAGGGGAGGAAGATCCACTTGGACAAGTCAGGCTGAGCCGCTGAGGTCCCTTTCTCGTTAGTCGTTACTACATAGTACCTGTCTTTTTTTTTTTTATCAGCCTGAGCCGCTGAGGTCCCTTTCTCGTTAGTCGTTACTACATAGTACCTGTTTTTTTTTTACCGCTGAGGTCCCTTTTACTAAAAAGCAGGTACTGCATAGTACCTGTCTTTTTTTTGTTATAGAGAATGAGTTACACGATTCGCAGATCGTTTACAAAAAGAGACTCTATAATTACTCTTTGTTAAGAGGATTTCCTTAATATCTTCCAAAATTAAATCAGTGTAAGAAAAACCTCCTCCTTGTTGAAGGCCTTGGACTACAGAAAGTGCGTCTGTCTCGAACTACACGCTCTGCCAGCCTGCTGCAACCGCCTCATCTAAAGCGTCCCTGAGCCCTGCCGCTTCTGTTTCTGCGGGGACCAACCTGCCCTAACTGAGACACCTCCTGCCTTAAGAAAATCTCCCTGCTCATCTCTTGTC